TTTCCCCATAACTTTCCTTTCATATATTATGAAATCAGCTGGTTTACATCTAACAATCATCATCATCATAAGAGTATCTCCAAAAACCACTATCGATATTTACAGAGTATTTTATAGCTTATGAGACACTTCCCTTACATTTTCTTCTTTCTCCAAACCTTCATAGTTGTCATTGCAAGTAAAGAGAACACAAATCATGTTATTAATATAGGATGGATCTAAGATTAAGAGTCTGATTTTCAGATGGCACATCTTAACAATAAATATGCAATTATTAATTCAGCAGAGTACTTTTAATAACACCTGCAGGTATGTCCCACCTTCAGAGAACAAATTCTGGAAAGGACTTTTTTTAACTAATGTTATTGAACCTGACCTGAATGAATGTAGACATTCTCTCTTGTGTCTGTTCCCCTTTCCCTGCTTAGTGACTTTGGAAAGGGTTCTCAGACATTGGCTTCCAGGTACCCCAACTCTTCTAGCAGATGGAAAGGCAAGTAAGTAAGCCAGGTTATGGGGCCAGGAATAATTGCTTTTTAATCAGGATTTTAATATTGCAAGGCCAGAGTATAGCAGATTATGAGAATTTTTTGGAGCAGCTTTCGATTTACAACAAAATTGAGAGGAAGGTACAGAGATTTCCCATGCACTCCCTGCCCTCACACATGCATAGCCTCTCTTATTATCAACATCACTCACCAGAATGGTACATTTATTACAAAGGATGAGCCTACATTGACACATCATAATCACCCAAAGCCCATAATTTTCAAATTTACAATAGAGTTCACTCTTGATGTTGTACACTCTATGGGTTTGGACAAATGTATAATGACATATATTCATCATTGTAATGTCAAGCAGAACATTTTACTGCCCTAAAAATTATTGTGCTCTGCCTATTCATCTCTCTCTGCCACCAATCCCTGGTAACCATTGATGTGTGATATATGTGTGTGTGTGTGTGTGTGTGTGTGTGTGTGTGTGTGTCCATAGTTTTGCCTGTTCCAGAATGTCATATAGTCAGAATCAAACAGTATGTAGACTTTTAAGATTAGCTTCTTTCACTTAGTAATATCTATTTGAGGTTCCTCTGTGTCTTTTCTGGTTTGATAGAGTTTTTCTTTTTAGCACTGAATAATATTCTGTTGTCTGGATGTACCACAGTTTATTTATTCATTAACTTACTGACCCTGGTTGCTCAGGTCATGGAATTTGATGAGAAAAAAAAATTCTAAGGATGAACAATCTGCTCATTAATTTTTCTAACATAGCAACATTATTAGGATTCCACATAAATATGCCTCAACAGTTTCAGAGCTGAAGGAGAAATGGATGGGGCATGGTTTTTACAAATTATTTGTGTCATTGGATAGTATGAGAAATGGGAATATGCCTGTTTCTTATTTAAACAACAATTCACCAGGTGACAAAACATTCCAGATACAGGAAAGGCTTATCTGTAGGTGCCATATTGAGTGCTTAGTCATTGCAGACACAAAAGGAAATGGGAAATGGAAGAGGATGATTTATGTAACACTGAAAGGAATGCCCCTCAATCATTATCAGTTAACTATCGTTATTTTTTTCCATCTGTTGGAGTCAAAAAATAACTCTTCCCACTCCTTAAATTCTGGCTGGGCTAATAATCATATTAACATGACACAGATTAACAAGAGAAAATATCCAACATTTATTGGGGATATACTTATAGGGGTTCTATAAGATATGAGACTGGAAGACACATTGGGCAGTTGAGGTTTATACATCATTCAGGACAAAGGAGAGGGAGGCAAGGGTATGGGATTTCAAAGGCAAAGCAGGCAATTCACAGGTAGGTGAGAAAAAGCAAACATGTGGACAACAAATTTTTGCTGATACACCCAGAAACAATGCGACACAGGGGAATCCAGCAAATAGTTTTGTTAGATTTGGCCCCATTTGCCACATTTAGTTTACATTTTGGTGATGTTCCCTTTCTTTAAAGTAGGTTTTTCTACCTGAATTCCTCTAGGCAGGTAACAGGAGGTGGGTCAAATGTTCTTTCTGAGTCTTTTGTTTCCTAATAACCAGTTTGAAGTCAATATCCCCAAAGGCAAATTTGAGGGTAGCAAAACTTTGGTCCATATCACGTCATATATCCCAAATTTGGATGTCATCTTCATCCTTGAAGAGCTTTTATCTTAGCTAGATGAACATTGCTGTTTTTGTTGGCTTATTTTCTTAATCATTGAGAATATCTGAAAACTACTAGTGTGTGTGTGTAGAGGAGATTTAATCTCTTACATCTATGTTTTTAGTCAAGGTAATGTTAGTGTCAAAGTAAATTTTTGTGACTTTGACTATTTTGTGGCAGTAGAAGTAAAGGATAATATATTTTGACCAGGTGTAAAACAAATGTAAATTCTACCAACTGAATTTTAAAAATAACCAATGAAGGTTGACCTGAAAGGTTTATTTTTATGAAGTTCTAATAGACTTTAATATCTGAAAGCAAAAACTTTGGGAAGAATAATTTGGGAAATGAATGAAACAAAGATTTCAGAGTTTGTCCAGTGCCTGGCTACTCACCTTGAATAATTTTAACCCCTGAAAACATCTGACCATCATTAGCTTTAGGAGACCCCCCTGTAAGAAGTCAGAATATTTTTATGGGAACAAATTAATAGGGCCTTAAGTCCTTTTTGGACTGTAGAAGAGGACCTGTTTTACCTTACCAGATGACCCATAGAGCTTTGAGAATACCTGTTGTATACATATGTATTTATTTGTTTTTGAAACTAGCCCTTTCCCCTCACAGCCAGAAGGTGTCATTCTCAGGTAGCATGCATGCAATCAAAATATTTTTAAATCCCAGAAGCCAAAGAAACACTAGCTTTCTAAACATTAAAAAAGAAAAAAAAAATACAAAAATACACTGGTCCTCAAGGGCAATAAACTAGGCCTCTATTAGGCCTAGCAGATAAAAAAAGATGAGGATTAAAGGGTGTTCAGCAAGAATAACCTGAAAATAATGTCTATCTCAGAATGTATGGTCACTGAGTTAAGTTTAAGGAGAAAAGGTGAAATACACAAGGTAAATATTTTGTGTTCATGCAAAGCAGCCAGAACTTTCTCATGAACATGCTGATTACATACTCAGGTAGGTAGCATATTTGTCCAGAAAACTTATATGTGTGGGTTTTTCTTTCTTAGTCTTCACCCTCATCCCCAGTCTCATAATTCTGTGTCGGCAGCATGCTAGGTACTGATGAGACAATATAAACAGTTCAGAAACCGATGCGTACTCTTTGCTGGACATGTAATTGTTGACATAAAAGCAGGTATTAGGTACTAAAGAGTAGGTTCAAGACCTGTGTTCCACAGAAAGAGAATGAAGCGACATAAACCAAGTTGGAGTTTCAAATCTCTACAGAATTCAGTATTTTGTAATGAATGTGTTTTTTCCCAGTTTACGTACCAAGAGACCAAAACACACATTTGTGGAGTAACTAAGTGGCACCAAACAAAAGTTCAAAGTTGAAAACAACTTGAGAAAATCAAATGGTATTATGGGCAAAGAACCTGTTCTTATTTGTTCTAAATGCTGTATTGATAGCCATTAAAAATAACTAAATATTAAAAGAATCAAAATAATGTAGATGTGTCCAGACTGTGTTTGGACATTCCAAATTGGTTCGTTCAAGGAACTTACCTGTGTCAGATACTTTAAGTATGTTTGATAATCCTTACTTTGTTTGAATCATGTAAAATATTCATGAATTTCTGTCAGTTGCCACAGTTAAAATTAAACCCCTGCTCTTGGCTTCATGAGACAGAATATTTCTATAAGGATCTTTATTTCCTTGATCTTATTATTTCCAGTGCAATTTATATTAGCATCTTCGTAATTACATTGCACCAGGGATCCAGAACAAAACATCATATTTTGTGGTATCTCTCCTTAATAAATGTCTTTGGGCCATATATTCATCCAGGTGCATGCAATGTAGGGGTAGAAAGTAGGCTTGCCAAATCCCAGAATCTCCAAATTATGGCATTTTCACCAACACCATTGAGGAATGTGAATTGTTCTACTTTTATTGAGCACCTACTAAATTTCAGGAGGTTTATACACAGGGTGGGGTAAAAATAGGTTTACAGTTGTGAGTATGCGAAACACAGAGTTTATTCTTGTATTATTATTTATCATATGATTTTCCATACAAACAACTCTAAACCTACTTTTGCCCCACCTTGTATATAACTTCTAATTGTCACAACCCAGTAAAGTAGACACTATGACTATTTTGTAGAAAACTGAAATTAATTATGTTTAATGAACTTTTCCAAGGTTATGCAGATCAGATTTTTAAATGAGGGTTGACTTCAAAGACCATATTCTTCCAATCACACCACAGCATGCCAACTTACTACCTTGAGAGACTGTACTAATTTGAAATATAAAATGAATCAATGGTGTTCATGGTCCATTTTTAACAAATGCTAAGCCCACTTTTCAACTGAGACTCCTCAGTCCTCTTGGTAGTTGAATTACCAAGCCCAGCATTTCTTGTGCCATCTTGGGAAAGATAGAAAGTTAGCTGATGGAAAAAAAGAGAATATTAGATCTGTTTACTTGGTGGTGGCTCTTAGAGGAAGAGAAAGGAAGAAACTTGTTTTCCTGCTGATTTTTCTGTTTAAAAGAGAACAAGGGTATGTGAGGAGTGGGAAAGAGGTAAAGGGCAAATAGAGAATATTGATATGGTGGTAATGAGCAATGAAGAGTTGGTTTGGGGGGCGGGTATTTCTCCAACTCCCTGGTCATTCCACCTTTCACTGAATGAGAATATTCCATTTGGCTTTCAGGCTAGGGTTGTCATGCGAGAAGTGTACGTTAATTTTATATTTTCTCATAACTTTCTTTTGGGGATAAGCATTTTGGTTTTCTGCTGTTTATTATTTCAGAGGCATCTATATGCTAATATGTTTATGCTAATTATTTTCATGTTTTCCCTCAGGTTATGCTTCATATCACCCACCAGGGAGGATCATCGCTCATGAAAACTTTTAAATTTGATTTTGAAAATTATTCAGAAAAATTTAAGCGATGCTCTCTTCCATTGTAAGAAAGAATATGCTCTGGAGATTCTTATAATTCAAAGAAAATGGATTGGTAGAGCATTTGAGTTCTCATGCTGCCAAAATCCTCTTGAGCAGGTACACAAAGCATTTAACATTGTGACATCAAAATGTTGGAAGAATAATTAAAATAATAATCTAGTAATAGGTTTTCAGAAATTGCTAAATTTCAATGTTTGATCCAGAGAGAAGAAAGGAAAGGCTATTTTCATTCTCCACAGCTTCTGAGGTGTGTTAATTGCTTCTATTGCTATGAATACTATGTTTTAATTGTATGTCATTGTTCCTTAGCATCACTTCTAGAAAGTTAATTCTAATAATATTGATGTCTGAATCTGATTTTCTGCTTACAGGATAAATGAGGTAAAAGAAGAACTTCATAATAAGCCAGCTTAATGCTTTCTTCCAGCTTTTTTATTACAGGGACATATTTTTTGAGATTATTATTTGTTTTGAGAGTAGGTTCCATTTTAAAAAAATAGAAGTTAGCCAATTGCCCTGTCTTAAAACTATTTTTTCCAGGCATCTTCTTTGGAAGATAACCAAGACTAAAAAGCTGATTTTGCACCATGAGATATTAAAACTTAGATCACTTTGGGGGGTATTTTACATTTCTCCCTTTTGTTCCCAAGCATCTCAGGGGTGCAAAGAAAAGGCCCCCATTTCATGGTCATCCCTATTGTTTTTTGTCCTGCTTGGTGCTTAAGAAAATCAAGGAATCCGAAGCACTGGGGGATTCATACTCCAGACTTAAGTTCATCATGGGTTCTGGCCTCCTCCTTACCTCTTCCTCTCTCCACTTTTCAGTAGCTGCACCTCGTCTCATTTCTAATCTTTAAATGCTCCCACTTTTCAAACTCAACCGTGCTTCACTCCGCAAGAAGTGCAGCCCAGATGATACTATTTCCCCTCTCAGCTCATTGTAATGCCCCTTGAGTTCCAAGGCAGCTTTGACAGTAGGAGAGTTAACATCCGGGGCTGGAAGAAAGGTCTTCTGAAAGGGCTCCTGACCAAAAAAAAAAAACAGAACAAAACAAAAAACAACAACAACTAGGCTCTTCTAGCTTAGACAGGTTACTGGACAACATGTGCTGGAACTGGCAACCAGTACCTCAGCATTTACAGTCATCACCTCTCTCCAAACAGGAAGCATCATTGCTGTGGGTCCATTTGATAAGTTGGCTAAAATACACCATTGCCAATTAAAGGTAAAATAACATTTTGTTGAAACCTGGCTAGGTTTGGTACATTCTCTTCAAATAGTTGATGTGTTGAACTTTTGTGACCCCAACATTATTTCCTTTCCATTCTACTTATTTGCCTGTGACAATACAGAATAGCTACACATTTTCCCTTTTAACATTGTGTTTGGAGAAGAATTCATTGAACATTGAACAGTTGATCGTAAGGCAGTCCCAGCTAAGAAGAAACTAGCCCTTCTCTCAACAATATTTAAACATAATTCAAATAGAAAAGCAATTTGTGTGCAATTACATCCAAATTTATTAGGTGTAGGTGAACCATGCAATCTGATTAACGAGGCTGCTATGACTGAATTATTTTCTTCATGAACTAAATCCCATGAATATAGGAAATATATCCATAAACCACTGTTAGCTCAGAGCTCTAGAAGGTGTCTGCTATGTTTTGTGGATAGTCAGCAAACTTTTGGCATGCCTGACTCAGTCTATATGAGTAGAGAAATTTGATTCAACACAACTCCAGAAATGCTGCATTATCTGAGAGGAGTAACACTCCTGGCTCTGGCAATGATCATGAACTTTGTTAAAGGCACATGACTTTGAAATAATAGGAACTAGATTCAGAAGAGCTTGGATTTTGTCTCACATAACTAGTTTTCTGACCTAGATGAGTTTCGTGGCCTCCTTGAGCCTCAATCTCCTTGTGGAAAATATGAAAGAAAAAAGTCACATTTATTTTATTTAAATTGGCTGTGAGGATTAAATGAGATTATATAATTGCATGGTGCCCACACCAAGTAAATGCTGGACTAATGGTCACTACTTCTATTATTATTATTATTTTTACTCATAATACTTTTAGGATTGTTATAATTATAGATATTAGTGGTTGTGTGAAAGGCTCAGAATATTTTTCTATGGAGAGCTTAGGTCATGGAAATAAAAAGTTGACACATTAGATTCTTTTTCTGCTGGTAACAAAGGGCCTATGAAATGAAAATGTAGAAAAGCTTGAATTTTAAGTGTGATTCACTGAAACCTCTATACCATCACATTCATTAAGTACCTTTTTTTTTGTTATTGTTAAATCTAATATGCTACACAAGAAAGATAAAATAATTTTAAATCCCACCAAATTTTTTGCTTCTATCTAACCAATGCCAAATATTCAAGATAGAAAAAGTCATTTATAAGTCAGATATTTTTACCTTCACTTTCAAGAATTCAAATGTCTATCTAACAAGCTGACTTTTTCACTTGTCTTTTGGATACCTGATATTAGCAAACTATTTTGTAATTTGCTTCTTGTGTTGCTGGTAGTGGTGGCCTTGTTGATTATAGGGTATAATTTGAAATTCCCGAATTTTATGAAATGTGGGATTGCTTAGCAATTAGTCTTTCTATAGGAAAAGCCATCTCAGTTAAAAAGCCCTAGGCGACTGCCAGGCATCTTTATGGAGCCAGAACATCATATGAGAGCATACAGTTGGGTCTCAAGGTCATTAACGAGTTTCAGTCTTGCTGCTAAACAAGGGAAGAGTAAATAGGCTTGCGTTTGCCTCCAAAACTCATGGCTCCTCACAGACAAAAAAGTCAGGTGATACTTAAACCTTTGCAGGGTTAGAATGGATCCTGCCATTCTGTATTGAAGATTTAGCTTTGATTTTTAATCACACGCCAAAACAAAGACCCACAGATGCATTTATCAACAAAGGTTTTTACTACAGACAAGTCCTAGTAAAAAGAATTTTTTTATTTGTATTTGGAATGGTTCTAATCACAATAGAGCCTTCATTAAGACACTATTTTGAGTATATAGTTATGTTTTAATTAATTTTTACCCTTTCTTATGGATTTCCCTCTTATGAAGCCATCCCTCAAAGGAAATGCCAACAATAAATTAATATCCACACCCTGGTATTTATGGTATTTCATCTTAAATATTCACACTTAGGTGAAAGTGTAGCATCCTTTGCCTTTCACAATGCCTAGCACATAGTAGAAGCTAAATGAATAGTAATTAAGAGAAAATGGCATTGTTAGAATTAGAGCAATACTTCCCTATATTTCATTTCTATTCTGCCATTCTTCAGTGAAGTTGGTGTAATTTCTCCTCCAATGGGCCAGATTTGGAACTTTTCACAGTCACAAGTGAAAGAGAGAACAAAATAAGAGAGATTTTTCATTTATAAGATTGCCCTTCTCTTATCTACTGGTCTTGCCTCCCAGATTGTCTGTCTGTCTCTGGAAAGCAAAGTCAATAAAAAAAATGATTCGAGTTGGCATATCACAAATGTACACCCTTAAACCATGAAGCAGTAATGCTGTGCAGGAAATATTTTTCTGACCTTTTCAAATTGCATCCAACTGTCTCGGGAATTTCTCAGTGACTAGAGGTAATAAGGTTCAATCCGTTTTACTGGCTGGCTTCAAATTTAGTTCCTCCAAATCTCAAACTTATCTATTCTTGCATCTTGGCCCTGGCATCCATTCAGCACAGAAATCTATGCATCTAATCTTCTTTTTCTCCTTCTCAGGCTTTGCTATAGAATCACCCTGTGCAATCTACAACCACTAACTGTCCCTCCCGAAACAAAATATTAGCATGGGAAGGTTAGCGGGTGTGATTTCTTTTGAGAGCCCTTACTGAATTTAATTAGCTTTTAGATTTCATCTCCATCTGATGTCTCAGTTTTTACCTATATGATTTATGCCTCAATAATCTTCATTAGATAAAACTTTATCAACTTAACTATACCATGGGCACTCTGGAGAATGTTAAAGAAGCAAAAATATGTGAATTTCCTTCGTGTTAAATTGAGTTTGGCTTTTCTTCTGTGAGTCCAAATGCGATGGACACACTCCCCGGGTAAGGACGGGAGTCAGCCAAGTGTGTCGTGCTAACAGGCAGCTGGGCGGCCCCATTCTTCAATGTGTTCTCTGAAGGGGAACAGAAAACAGAAGCTGGGGACACATTTCTTGACCTCACGAAAGTGCTGGATGTCAGGAAGCCTTGGCAAGGAGTTAAAAAGCTTGTCTTACTTTTCATATTTAGAATGCTTCCATGCTGAATGTGATTCTGGGGAGATGCCCGTGTTTCCTCATTTGTAGGACACACCACATTCTGCACACACACTGTTCTATGGCTTCCTTTCATCGCCTTTGTTCTGCCTTCTGCAGCGGTGATTACATTCTTGGCCGGAAGTTCCTGTGGTCAGTGGAGCTTGGAGCCTCTTTCCAGAGCCTCTCTGTTCATGGGCAAATAGCTACCAGGAGGAGGAAATCTGTTTGAAGTTGCCCTCCTAAGAGTTTGTATGTGGTCAGACTATAATTGTCAAGTTGGATTGGCATAGATATTTGGCTTTATAAAAGTGAAATCAGCCCTGGCTGGTTTGGCTCAGTGGATAGAGTGTCGGCCTGTGGACTGAAGGGTCCCAGGTTCCATTCTGGTCAAGAGAACATGCCTAGGTTGCGGGCTTGATTTCCAGTGTGGGGCGTGCAGGAGGCAACCAGTCATTGATTCTCTCATCATTGATGTTTCTATCTCTCTCCCCTCTCTCTTCCTCTCTGAAATCAATAAAAATATACTTTTTTAAAAAGTGAGATTATGTCAAACAATGTGATTCAGACAATGAGTTTAGAAGAAAGAGGATGAAAAGCAGATATTTTAAAATTTACAGTAGTGTATTCCTTTTCTTCAAAGAAATAGTACATTTGGCCCTCCCTATCCATGGTCCCACATCCATGAATTCAATCAAGCTCAAGTGCAGGAGAAAATGAATCGAGGCCAAGTCTTTAAAGCACTGTCCCACGTGTCTTCTTCAGTGTGACAGCCTTTCTTCTCTCCATCATCACAGAGTTGCTTTCAGTACAGTGACTTATTTTATTACTTTGAAAGTTTAATACGGACTAACAGTTTGGGCTGGTGGCTTATATTATCATTAGCATATAAGGTAGTATCATTGCCTTAAAATAATAATACAAGTGGCAGGAGATTATATGTTGTCTTTTGTCAGCTAATGATTTACCAGGGTAAAAGGTGGATTGAGGAAAACAGGTATTCAAAGGTATTTTGTAGGTAGCCCAGTAAAGCCCATTTCCTTTTCCTTTTTCATTGAATTTACTGGAGTGACATTGGTTAATAACATTATATAGGATTACAGTGTACAATTCTATAAGACATCACCTGTATATTGTATTGTGTATTCACCACCCCAAGTCAAATCTCCGTTCTATCACCATTTATCCCCCCTTTACCCTCTCCTACCTCGCCCCCTCCCCCCCTTACCTCTGGTAATCGCCATACTGTTGTCTGTGTCTATGAATTTTGTGGGATTTTTTTTTTTTTTTTGCTTAATCCCTTCACCTTTTCGACCCATTCCAAAATCCCCTTCCCCTCTGACAGCTGTCAGTCTGTTCTCTATAAATCAAAATATCTAGGAGATTCAATGCCTTCAAATATACAAGTAAAATATTCTTCTTCTTCTATTTGCCTCACATATCAATATTATAAAAGTAAACATTCCTGATTGCCAAAACAGGCTTGATACTGAGGCCTTAGCTCAGTGGAGATATAGATGCATAAGGATTCCACTTTTACTCTCTGGCGATGCCTGGTTCACTTCAACCTGCTCCTCGGTGTTACTTATTGTGGGTAACTGGGCTTCTTGTGTTGCCACAATGTCACTTGGTATCTGATGCGAGGCCAGCAACCTGATGGGGCCTCATTTGTTCCCAGGCATATCAGAAGACAGAAAATTGATTCAAATCTAAGCAGAGTAGTAGAATCTCAAAAGCTCTGTCACCACTGTTCACTGCAAACATCTCTCTTCCTGGAGCGGGTGTTCTGAAAACCTGGAAGCATCTCACTTATAATAAATATCCCCCCTTAAACATTTCAAACAGATCTACAGGAAAGGCTTCAGATGGAAATAGGATGTCAAGCATAGTCTCTCTCTCTCTCTCTCTCTCTCTCTCTCTCTCTCTCTCTCTTTCTTTCTCTCTCTTTCTCCCCTCCTCCCTCCCTATCTCCCCCTCCCCCCTCTCTTGAAATGCATGTGATCTCAGTACAGAGTTCTTCCTTTATCTTTGCACAAGGCCCCTTCGATTCCCACTATCCCCCTATTGGAAATAAACTTAAAACAATATAAAAAAAATAAAAATAAATCACTCTGAAACTACCTGCCACACACAGTTCACCTTCAACACTTTGCTTTCCATTAGTGCTTTGGGAAGGGACATGCAGCCTCGGCTTTCCATCTGCAGGTTTAGCAGTGGGCACCTGCCTGTACCTCTGTGATATACTGGCAAACTCCACTTATTGTCAGAGCTGCAGCAGTATTTATATTTTCTTAATTGGAACCCCACTGGTCCCCTAAGGGATTTCCGCCCCTTGGCAAGGCAATATATCCATATGGACATAGAGCATAGCCACTGTGGCCTATTGTAATGTTATGGTAAGAAATATCAAAGTTGGCATCAAAATTAAAACAATACCTCAGCTAGTGGAGTTTCTAGGCTGGGCTTTTGATATTATTAAGAGCTCACCATTTTTTCTCAGTGTTTATCTTTGGAGTTAAAGAGATGTCAGCAGAAATTCAAATTGAAGACCCTTCCTTCTTCATGGTGTTTCCTCTTCAGTTGTAATTCTTCATGGCATTGCTTCCGGAAGTGAGGGGTAACCGGTAGGAATACCAGCTACCACACATAATGAACAACTAAATAAACACAGAGGCTTGGGAACTCTATATATAAATGTTATGGTTTTACCATATCCTTTCTTTTCAGCTGAATAAATATAAGATCAACTTTATCAAAATGCCTGGAAAACCTTAATTTTATTAAAACTAAATAAACTAATATGAAATTAATAAGTAGATGCTCTTTATCTTCATTCTTCATGTCATTACCTCAGACATCCAAGGGCCACTGCCTTGTCTGTATTTATGGTTACAGTGTGTGTATTTGCTTCTCCCTTATGCTATTTTTATTTTTGTTACTGGAATTCATGAAGACTTAATCATCAGCCTTCTAATTTTCCAGAAAGAAAAATGTTGATTTATTGAGCTGGCTGTAGAAAAAGAAGAAGAATATGATCAATCTGACATTATAGGTTAATAGTAGGGAACAAAACACATTCATAATTAGAAAAGAAAAGGACTTTCCTTGTTCCTTCCAGTTAATAATAAAAAGCCTTTCGCCAAAGTGTCTTAGAAAATAATGCATTCAGACTGAGTCGAATTACCGCCTAGCAGATTCTATTTATCTGTAGCTTAAAAAGCAGCTGCGTTTTTGTAAAAGGCAATGAATGTGGCAGTCCTACTTAAAGGTAGAAGAAAAAGAACACCCCTTGTTTTGTAATAAGGGGATTTTCAATTTAAAAGAGAGAGCGAGCCTTTTGTGTGAAGTACGGTTATTACATTCACTGTATTCTATCTCACCCACCAGGAGGCTAATAATGAAGGGGCCAGGGAAGGAGGCCAGTGCTACGAGGGTTATCTCACAGCCTCAGATGCTGGATAAGTCGAACGAGGCAGAATCGCGTTTGGATGACATTCAGAAAGGCCGGAGTGATTATTTGGAAGAGAAAAGCCTGCCTATTCTTTCCCAAGGTAAACAGTTCATTTCATCTGTCAGCTGCATGTTGCAGTATAAAAATATGTTTATATAAAGATATCTATTAAAGGTTGCATTTTAAAAAATCATTGTAGGTGTGTGAATATCCCCCTGGCCTGCCGGTCCAGCAATGAATTACTAGACAAAGGATCGCCCGGAACCCCACCACACCTAAAGCCACGCTTTGGAGGATCTGCCAAGCTCACTTTTAATCATGAGAAAGAAATTACCCACATGGAGTCAGCAGAAAATGAGAAAGTAGAGCTCGTGCTCCGAGTAATTCCAGCAAGTGCCAAGGGGCTAGTTGAGGAATGGCTTCATGAGGTGAATATCTTTAGCTTGTACTTAGAGTTTTGGCTAGCGTATAATCATTTTCTCTTTTAGGAACAATGACTTGCTTAAGTGTCATCCCTAAGATACGCGTGCTCGGAGCATTTGTCAGGATGTTGACAGATTTCATGTCAGTCTCATCCTTGTTGTTATGTACTATGACTAATTTTACATTTGCAAATATGCAAAAATCAATCGAGGTGAAGAGGCTCCCGGAGCCAATGCCTGTGAATAGCTGTCTGAATCTGTGTGTCTTGCTGTGAGTGCACCTCTCTGTGTACGTGATGTGCCCTTGTTCTTGTCTTCTCTCTGTTGTGCACGTACGTCGGTTGGGAGGACTGGCCAGCCCATGGGTTCTCAGATGTGGTCCCAGGCTTTCATTTGATTTTTGGACCAGGAAGAAAAGAATGTGTCACATCATGATTAATGGTTAATCTGAATTTTCAATTCGTATGAAAGGAGAAGGGGGAGGAGGAGCTCAGCCCAGTGATGAGACTAACCTTTTCCCTTTGGGAAGAGCATGATTCAAATTAAACATCACTTTCTGTGTGAAATTAGTTTGAAGGCCTCTTTTTGTTGGGGGGGGGGGGCGGTGCCTGGTTTAACTCCTTGATGGCTGCTCTTGCAGAGAGAATCCCTTCCATCCTGCCTCTGTGCCCCAGTCTGTTCCCAGTAGCCCAGAGTTCCCCCTTTTATTGTTCTAAAGATCAGGTCCAAGAAACCAATAAAAAATATTGAATGTTTTACTATTTTTAAAGTTTCATTATTCACAAGATTCTTCCCAAACCATGTTATTTCTTAGTGTCCCAAACTAATGTTGCCAGTAAATGAGAGAGAGAGAAGGAAGGAAGGAAGGAAGGAAGGAAGGAAGGAAGGAAGGAAGGAAGGGAGGGAGGGAGGGAGGGAGGGAGGGAGGGAGGGAGGGAGGGAGGGAGGGAGGGAGGAAGGAAGGAAGGAAGGGAGGAAGGAAGGAAGGAAAGGAAAATTTATTTTAAGGATAATTTTAAATTTGGCAGGGAGGAGGGAGAGGAAAGCAAGGTGATCTTTCAAAAGACCTTTTGGGTACCCTCTGCTCTATGCTAGTTCCTGTTGGCAGAGTGAGCCACAGAGGAAGAACAGCAACCAAAACCCAGTGTTCTCTCAATTCTCTAGTGTCCCACATAACTAAGGCACAGGATTGCCATGCCAACCTGCAGCAACTTTGGCTCCAAGTGAGCATGGTCCGGGACACTTTAAAACTTCCCTTCCGTACAGGACTCAGGCTTATAGAAAGGACCCCTGTCTCTGGAAATGCTAGCCTGTGTGCCCATGTGTGCATGTCCTTGATGCCACAGGTAGGCAATCTCAGGATCTGATGTGCAACTGATTTTCTGGAGTTTGGTAGCTTTGGGGGGAAAGGGAAAATATTGAAAAAGCTAAGAGACAGGGTTATTCTCCCAGTGTATTTTCAAAATAAAAATGTTAGGGCTCTTTAATGTCTTCCCTAAAGGATGGAGAGGTGTGGTGGGGGGTGAGCCATCTGGGGTGAGCTGTAGTAGGGGAGGGGAAGCAGCTGGAAGTGGAGGTAGAGGTGGAGTGGGGGAGGGGGAATATAGAGGCAGATGAGCAGCTGTGTTTATTTTAATACATATCATTTAACCCTCACCTAAAAACAAATTGGAGAGGTTTGGGAGTGCATTAATCTGGACCCAATTAACATGTCTTTCTCCTTCAAAAGTGCAACCTGAGATTAATGAATATAAACTAGAGTTTCAGAGGCAGTGTTTAAATCATTTGCATGTTTCATGCATGATAATTGAATCTATGTATGCACTTCCTTTCATTTAACTATTTCCAGTCCCCTCCCTGTGATTCACATAAATCAAGATTTCATTATAGTAACCTCTAGGTGGAAATTGCTGGCCTAGACCTTACTCCTAATGAGAAACTCAAGTTCTTGTTTCTTTTATTGGAATCTGCATAATACAATGTGGGTTTTTTTTAGAAAGCAGAGGACAGCGCTCCATAGTCTGGGACACTGTTTCAGGAGCTGGTAATTAGGCACTCCCAGTTTATTTCTGAAAGGCCATAAATACATGGCAACTTATGGCATTGGGTCTTCAGTGGTCCTGGAGAACTGGATTTTGGTGTGGCCACTTACAAGTGTATTAATAATTCCACAAGCAATGTCACTTTAATGCAGCATAAAGAATGTCCTTGGGCTCTGGACCTGAGTTATTTAGATCACTGAGGGACTTCATGCACTGTATTGTTTCTGGTAGAGTTAGGTATTTCCTCCCATGTACGGGGGTGGGGGATGGTGTCAGCCTCCACGAAGGGATATAGGTAAGCAATTAGCACTCGTGGTCCCTTATCATGCTGTAGAGTTTTTTTCTCTTTTTTTCTTTTCTTCCTTTTTTGTTACTTACGTGTAGTAAGTGAAAGTATGCTTAGTGAAAGCAGGTGCTGAAGTTTTCCCCCTCCCCACCTGCTCCAAAATGGAAAGGCTGAAAGCTGACTGTGGGCATGTAAGAACATTTCCCAGGGGAAGAAGTTGAAACAAGAGGCTTGAAATAAGTCCCCTGGTTTCAGTTTGTACCAGTGATTTGTCTGTCTTCTGTCTTTCCTCATGTGTTTCCAAGTCCAATGTCAAAGTGATGAGCTTTTCTCCAGGAATTCTCCCCAGTGTCCTTTGTTTTTGGTGAATTCAATGGTTGCGTGTTGCTGAGTGTCTCCTGGTCTTGTTTCCTGGTCCTTGTAGCTAAGAGTGTTGCTGAAGGATGAAATCCTGTTAATTTGTGATGTCACAATTTAAGTGTGCTTCCTGTCACTTATGTGTAGTTTAAAATGTTCCTTAATGTAGCATGAAATGATTGGTTAGCTTGGAAATGGTTGTGAAGTCATGTGAAGAAAATAAGTTTTGCATCCGACCAAGATAAATTCACTCTAGTGCTTTATGGCTTTTTATTCCTATGTGATAGTAATAAAGTCTCATGTAGGGATGGAAGCCATGAAATACATTGTGAAAAATCATCAACTAAGAAGGGGCCATCAGAATAGAAAACGTTAGCCTGTGTGGCTGTGGACATGATGCAGAAATGATTTAGTGTATAGTTTTGCTACATGCTTGGTGTTTCTTCGAGTTTCTTTATCTTCAGATTTTGACAGCTAAGGAATCTGGGTTATAAGAGTTGATTCATCTTTGTAATCATCATTCTACTCACACATTTGGGTTTGCACATTTCTGTTTACCATACATTTTTCCCTCCATTTTCTATTAACAACATGCTCTAGGAAAACTATTGATAGCCCACCAGACTGGGAGGCAGCATTCAGTTCTCCTATGCCTTCTTTCTCCTGGTGTGGTCTTTCTTCTGAAACAAAGAAGACACTGTCAAATCAGACTTGCCCTCTTAGAAATGTGGTCCAGATTGCTCTACTCCCAAGCTCCAAAAAAAAGGTATACATAGGTTGAACTAAATAAAGACCTCCTCAGGTCTATAAATCTACTCTGAGATGTTTTCCACTTGTGGGTATACTGTAGTTTAGAAATACCTGATGTCAGAGGAAAGAAGGAGGGCTTTGGAGTGGATGTGGGTTCTAATCTCTCTGCCACTCCAACTTTATGCCCTGGGCAAGTCATTTAAACTCTATGAGTCTCTTTATCTTTAAAATGGGGAGAAAAATACACCTTGCAAAATTGTTGTAAGGATTAAGTGAAATAATGCATACAGTGCCTAACAAATTATTTAGCATGTTTAAAAAAAAAAAAACAGAAACAAAAAAAACCTCATAAAATGTTTTTTTTTCCCTTCCTCTCTCTCTTCCCTCTCCCATTTCTTTCTCTCTCCTTCTTATGTCCTCTCCTACCTTGAGATGTTAGTCTAACAATGAAGAATGTCTACTTGCAAGTTTTTTTCTATATGTGCCTTAAATATCTTAGTTGGATTAATAGTTTAATTTTTTAGTTGAACTGTTTTCATGTTGATGATTGGTGGATACACTTATTGTTTTCTGTATATATATATATTTTTTTTCCTTGAACTACTTTAATATTGACTTTTGACCTATATTCATGTTCACTGGTTTTCTGTATTGTTTTTCATTGAGAATTATAATAAAAATTATTTCTGTTACCTTTTGCCTCTCCATTTCCTCCACACAATGGGATTTTAGCCTGTCTCCTGAAAATGTCTGGGCTGCCCCAGGAAGATAAAGGATGCCTTTTCCTTAGAAACTGCCCATTGGCAGTGTTAAGAGAACTATATTCTCCCTCCCTTTATATAACAATGTGCTTGTGGAAATGTGTCACTTTGGTTGTAACTTTGCTGCTAGTTTAATTTATAAACATATTGAGGTATAATTTGACTTTATGACTGAAGCCCAATGAATAATTGTGGATAAAGAAAAGGATTAGGAAGTAAAAATGCTGAAACTTTTAAAAAGTATGAGATCTATTGCTATAAAAGTAGAATACAGTGAGCACCAGTGACACCATATTTGTATGAGATTATTTTATTGTAACTGAGTTTAATTTTTAAGCCTCATGCTTACCCCTGTAGACCCAGATCCTAATAATGTCCCTGATACTTAGTAGGTATTCAAATATTTGTGAATAAATGGAAGGGAAAGAAGGGGAGGGAAATAAATAAGTACAAGGCTATATCATCATAAGAAATATATGGTTAGGGAAGTAGAGCAAACCCACATACATAGTTAATGGTCTACTGTAAGAGTGAGGAGCATTTAATTTTGTACTAGGCCATTCAAGATAAAATGTAATGGTGACATATACAGAATTACTATAGGGACTCGGGGATAGGAAAGGTCTTTAGAATCAGACCAAGATCCATGTCAAGATTTAGACCATCAGCCAAATTTCCATAGGCAAAAGTCAAGGATTAAAAATTTACCCAGGAATTTATTAAAAGCTCAAGTGACTGGGTGCTTCTCGCAGATTTTTCTTACAAAGTGTTCTACACTGGAGAACGTCTTTACTTCTAAATATCTTCATAAATACCATTAGAAGCAGATCGTAGATTTTAATGAACACACTTACTTAGATTAATTAATCACTGCTGGATCTCAGTT